TATATCTATATAGTTGGAAAAGTGAATAAATATAATATGTGAACAACACATATATACATTTGCATACAAGTTACTTTAGAGTTTTGTTTATTTATTTCCTTATTTACACAATAACTGTTTACTCCTTCTTCTCCTTATTCTTAATATTGTCATTATTATTATTATTATTATCAGTAGTAGTAGTATTAGTAGTAATGGTAGTATTAGTATTAGTAGTAGTAGTGGTAGTATTAGTATTAGTAGTGGTAGTATTAGTAGTAGTAGTAGTGGTAGTAATAGTAGTATTGACTTTTATGATCATAAATAAACGATTATTTAATTTCTTCTATCCCTTTTTTTTAAACTTTTGCCATCTCGTCCAATATAATGACTTAAATTTTTTAAGAAAGAACTATTTCTTATAGCATGTTAATCTATTTACCCTTTCTTTTCTTTTAGTTAAGCTTGAAAAGACACCATTTTGTTGATTGATGTCAAGTCAAGTTGACTTCTATCTGTATGTGTATGCATATGTATATTTAGATAAGAGTATATGTGTCTAAATAGTAATAACAATGATGATAAAACGAGCAATGAAATCAGTTGTAGATATTACTCACTAGTCAGGTAAGTAATAAATAAATATTAGTAGTATATATATATATATATATCATTTCGAGATTGGAAAAGTTACCAGTAAGCCAGTATGATTATCATTATCCATAGTATTACTCAACCATTCATAGTCTTCATTCAATGACCATAAGTTTTATTACATTGAAAACAGTCATATATATAAGGGAAATAAATTTGCTAAAATATAATCTATTCATTATTATTGTAATCCATTGTATTTTGGTCTATGTGAATTAAAGGAAAAAAAAATTAAAAACTTGAACAAGGATGTAAAATATTGTTATTTTATAGCCTAAAAAGATATGTATATCAGAAAGGGTTTTGTAGATATTATAGTAATTTCAATAGTTAAGATTATGAGTCAATTGAAGCTAGACCACCGTCGAAAAGCTGGAAACATCAGACGGCCGTTTCCTCATATTGTGGGACTCCTCAGAAGTACGCATTTACGATCCCGCCCAGCGAGATTGCAATCCAGGACCTATCAGTCTTGCGATTAAGCTCTTAACCTCTAGACCACTGAGCCAGCCGGTATCCAACGGTGTTACTGTCTAGCTTCAACTGATTCACGAAATTGAGCGACACATCGACCATTTTTATTTTAATAGAAGAAAGATTTAAGTGATTCCTTTGAATCAGCAAGGAATAGATCATTTAAAAAACATTAATAAATATATTAAATTTTAATAATAATTATTATTAATATTTACTTACTTTTCATATATTTTAACTGGGTCCCTCTTCTATGTAGTTAATTTCTTCAACGTTAAATAGAACTATGACGTCATCATATTTCAAAAAGAATAACTTTGAGTAGAAGAAATTCCTTTAAATAATTCGTTGATAAAATGGTTGAATTCATGAGTCGATATAAGTTAGACCACTATTGGAAACCTAGAAGTACTGGGTGGTTGTTTCGTTTTAGTATGGAGCTCCTCAGAAGTGTCCATCCACTACCTCACGCCTAAGAGACTCATACCTAAGACTTTTGGTTTGACACGTGAACTATTAACCTTTAGACCACTGAGCTGGCATCCAACGTTGTTAATGTATAACTTCAACTAATTCACAAAATTTCACCATCACCCACCATTGTCTTCAGTGAGTTACTATCTCACAACAGACCGAGTTGAACTCCACTGATCACGGCTTCTCACAAGAACTCCAGGAGATGCACCTTGAAGCCATCTTGAGGCCGTGATCAGTGGAGTTCAACTGTATCTGTTATGAGGCATTCACTCACTGAAGACAATGGAGGACGGTCGCGCAATATCGCGAATTAGTTGAGTTAGACATTAACACCATTGGGTGCCAGCTCAGTGGTCTAAATGTTAAGCACTCACATGCCAAACCAAAGGTCTTGGGTTAGAGTCCCTTAGGTTCAAGATCATGGACGGACATTGATAAGGAGTTCCATACTAAAACAAAACAGCAGATCAGTGATTTCAAGTTCTCAATAGTAGTCTAACATACATTAACTCATTATTTCAATCATTAACTTACTACAATCTCTTAAAACCCTCATTCTGATAACAATTCATTGATTATCAAAATTGTTAAAATGAGTGACTTATTAAAAAAAAAACTCTTTATTCTTCTCTTATTCATTTTCATTATCTCCATCATAGATATAAGTAAATAACAATAATAATAATATCATATATCAATGAAGTTTTACCTTCTTTGCTTACTACTAATAAAACACTAATCTCCACTCTTTTCTAATAGTATGACCTATTATAGTTTGTTTTATTTGTACCTTTAAAGGAAACGATTAGAAAACAATTAAGGTGATCTATACAGATATATATATATATATAACTATTCGAAGTGAAAACTGACGTATATATACACATACATATATATGTGTACATACGGATTTCCTTATATACTATCTTTGAAGTTGTTCTCTTCTTTTTATTTCCCCTAGTATTATCTGACCTCTCTTGTTTCTAATACATACATTCTTAGATTTGATTGTTTGTATAGTCCATTTATCTCTCTCTGTGTTTTGTTTTAATCATTCGTTTTAAATTCCTTTTCATTATTTGTGATGTTCAAACGACAAAAAGTAAGGAATGTACTAGTTTTACAGGGATCAATGAGTGAATTAATGGTCATTGCTAATAGATGATCTGAAAATTAATCAGTTATGATATGTAACTCTTTTTTTTTTAGTTTTAAGATTCTTTTCAATTAATTTCTATTTTTGAAGTTTATTTTTATCATATATGGAATATTGTAAGTGATTGAATTTGACCTTGCTAGATTCTCGAGGAAGGCCAAGGACAAAGTGGGTTGGAGAATGCTTTTCGGCGGCTTATGCTCCATTGGGAGTAAAAGGCGTAAGTAAGTAAGTAAGTAATATTCTCGAAGATGGTTAGTAGGAAATATCAGCTGTAAGTTTTGTGTTAGTTTACATATTTCAACAGAAGTTTACTTTCAGTCTAAAAGGAACTGGTGTACCTCGTTGAGTTTCATGCCAACAACTTCAAACTACCTACTATCTGAGCATACTGAATATGATTTCAAGTTACAATACCATATCACAGTTTGGTCGATTAAATGTGATTGACATTAAAGGACTGGTCAAACATGTCAATGATCACTACTCCGTGGTCAGTTAGTTGTGAGTTCAACTTTGTTGAAAGACGAAGATCATTGGTGTGATAGGATGACTGTTAGGCTATATTATGCATTGACTGTAATTGCGCATGTACACTTCTGAAAACTAAAGCACTTGTTCAGTGTTATCTTATTTATCATCAGACCTAAATGTTTCGCATCGGTCAGTAATTCCTCACTGTTGAAGAACTTTAAACTTAGACAGAACAAGTACTGATGCCTTCCTAGTTTTAAGTAGTCCGCCAGATTTTATTTGAACACTATCAAACCGTGTTTTAGATAAACCGATGTCTACCAAAACTATTCTCCTTATTAGCTTTAGTTTCTTGTGAAATTGCAATTTACTTACTTACTTGCTCATGCTACCCTCAATCGAACGTAGGCCGACGACCAGCATTCTCCGACCCACTCTGTTCTAGGCCTTCCTTTCTAGTTCTATCCAATTCTTGTCCATCCTTCTCATATCTGTCTCCATTTCTCCGCGTAATGTGTTCTTTGGTCTTCAGGATTCAATGTGAACGCTTGCGTTGTGACGCAGTTGGGTGCTTTCCTTAATGTGTGTCCTATCCACTCCCAGCGCATATTCCTGATTTCTTCCTACACTCCAAACTGGTTTGTTTTCTCCCACAGTAGGTTGTTGCTGATGGTGTCTGGCCAACAGATCCGAAGTATGTAAACAACTGTTAATAAACACCTGCATCTTCAGGATGATGGCTTTCGTAGTTCTCCAGGTTTCCACCCTATGCAGTAGAACTGTCTTGATATTTGTATTGAAAATGCTCACTTTGGTGTTGTTTGACAATTATTTTGAGTTCCAAATGTTCTTCAATTGTAAATATGCTGCTCTCGCTTTGCTGATTCGCGTCTTCCTTGTATACATTTCAAATGTGGTTAATTTAGAATAGATGAAGTCGACTAGACATGGAATTCAAGATGTGCGTTTCGACCTTTCCTGGATTCGTCAGCTGAATGTATGTGCATCGCGACCAAGGCTGATAAAATTTCAGCCAAAATATCAAACGGGATAATCCAAAGAATTTCAAATTGATTTTCAGCAATGGGTTTCAAACACCCTAAACTTGGTCTACAGATAATCAAGCGTTCATCTCTTAAATTTCTGTGGACTGTCATGAAGAAACTAGTAATTAACAAAAAAGTAGTAGCCTTCACAAATAATCGTATTGCCATATTCCATATGAGTACAATAGAAGCGAATTAACATGAGCATTAGTAAAAGAAGTTAAAATATCAGTACTATTATTAATATGGTAAATAAAAATACTGGATATACAGCTCCATATAATAGATATTTGTATTGAAAATGCTGAATTTGGTGTTACTTGACAGCTGTTTTGAGTTCCATATTTTCTTCAATTGTAGATATGCCCCTCTTGATTTGCTGATTCACGCTTTCACATTTGCATCAGATCCATCCAAATCGAAATTTAAACTTATTTATTTACTAATATCAACAAATAGGGGTTAAGCACTCACTCGCGAAACTGATAGGTCCTAAGTTCGAATCTCATAAGGCAGGATCGTGGATGAGCAATGCAGAGAAGTCCCACACTAGGACTAAACGGCCATCCAGTGCTCCCAGCTTTCCCAAAGTGGTTTAGCTTCAATTGGTTGATGATCTCAACTATTGAAATTATTATAATATCCACAAAACCCCTTCTGATAATAATAAAATATTCTTTTATATTTTAATAAAAATAACATCCTTATTTTTTTCTTTCTCTCTTTTTTATACTTTATAGGTGATAAACCTTATTCATGTTCTGCATGTGGTGTAACATTCACTCAAGGATCATCATTAAAATTACATATACGTTCACGTCATAATGATAATATTCAATATTTTTCATTAATACGTAAATCAAATAAAAATAATTTAACAAAATTATGGACAAGAATATTAAAAAAAGATTTACCTAAATTGAAATCATTCAATTCTTCTTCTTCGACTTCTTCTTCTTCTTCTACATGTTCCCCTTCTTCTTTTTGCTCTTCTTTTTGTTCTTCTTCTTCTTCTTCCTCATCTTCTTTCTCTTCTTCTTCTTATCACCATGATTTTTGGAATAAATGGAGACATTCATTGAATATTGATTTAAATCATTTCATTCAAACAAAATATAATCAATATAAAAATCAATTCAATTATTTATCAATAATAAATAATAAAAATATAAAAAAATTAATCAAATCCAATTATTATTGGAAATCAATAAATTCATATTTTAAAATAAATATACATAAAAAATTGATGAATAATCATCATCATCATCATCAAAAATATTTAAATAATATTCGATCAATAAATGATGATTTAAAATTGAAATATCAAATAATTGATCCACCCCCTTCATCTTCTCCTCCTCTCCCTCCTCTACTTCCTTCCCTTTCTCCCCCTACGCATCATCATCATCATGATTATGATTATAATATTGATAAAATAAAATTGAATGAACAATTAATAAAACAAGAAGAAATCGATATGAAATAAAAAAAAAAATAAATTCAATGTAATTTAAATGAATAATATATATTTAATAATTAAATGAATCTTTAGTAGAATGGAGTTATGAAAATTATTGAGTTTCTGTTTTGTTTTTGATTTTGATTTTTGATCGAGATCATGAATGAATCAATATTAGATCATCAATTAAAAAAACTTAAGATTATGAATGTATATTATTAAGGAGTCCTATATATTGAGATGAAAAAGTTATTTATTACTTTTAAGTTTTACAATAATGATCTAACATGGATCAATTTTTTTAATGATCTGAATCAAAAAAATCAATAAATTGATTTTAATGAACAACAATCTATGATTCAATAAAATGGATCATAATATTGAGATTTTAAAAAAGATATTCATAAATTGGATCAATTATGTTTAAATGAATATGATCTACCATTTTGTTATTATATCATTTTAATCAAATTAATTTTATATTATTCATATAACTTTATGATTACAAGGAAGAAAAAAAGAAAAAAAGAAGAAGAAGAAAGAAAGGAAATTTTGAGAGAAGAAACTATTAAAGTTTTTTATTAAATTGAGACTCATTTGTTGTTGTCGTTGTTGTTGCTATGCTTATGGTTTATTTCTTTATAATCAATATGTTTGTTTGTTTGCTTGTTTACTTGTTTTATTTCTTTAATTAAAGTTTGTTTTCTGGTTTCAAAATAGTTTACTCATGTTTTTCTTCGATATAAACTTATCATTATAATATGATAATAATTTTTATTACTTTATATTAAAATATTACTTTGTTTAATTATATCAGTTTACTATTGACTTGCTTGAATATCTGAGTTACCTGTTCCTCTCTGTAATCTAGATATTTCAATAAGTTATCTATTTTCTTGTTTGTTCTACCATATCATTATGTTTTGATGGAGTTTTATTCTCTGAGCTGGATGGTTTAGTTGTAGAGCTTTCATCGTTCAAAAGAACGATGACATTATCAGCAAAAACTTCAAGTAGAAGTGAAGTGTTCGAATTTCTTTACATCATTATTGTCTAGTAATCATATAACCTATTCAAATGCGTTTCTAATAAGTTTACAAGCTTTCTCTGTACAAGTTACAAAAAAAGTACAATCAAAGACATCGTGATGGCTGACAATATGCTTTGAAATAAACGAATACTATTCAGATGTCAATTCTTAAACTAATAATATCTAACTAGTGATTACTCAGTGTTTATCATCAGGATTGACCAAGAAATCAGAAAAGGAAACTTCTTGAAATACTTTCTGCCTAGAATTCTTTATTGTACCAAAAACATAATACTGAATCAAGCCATTAATAATAATAATAATAATATGATATATATATGAAATACCTGGGAAGCATCGTTGATAAACAAGGAGGATCGGATGCAGATGTAAAGATGAGGATTGGCAAAGCAAGGGCAGCATTTCTACAAGTGAAGAACATATGGAACTCAAAACAACTCTCTGTCAACTAATTTCAAAATAAGAATCTTCAATACGAAAGCCAAGACAGCCCTACTGTATGGAGCTGAAACGTGCAGAACTACTAAATCCATCGTCAAGAGGGTACAAGTATTTATAAACAATTGTCTATGCAAAATACTCAACATTCACTGGGCAGATACTATCAGCAACAGCGTTTTATGGGAGAGGACAAACCAGCTTCCAGCTGAAGAGGAAATTAGGAAAAGACGTTGGAAGTGGATAGCACATACATTAAGGAAGTCACCAATGTGCATTACAAGGCAATCCCTAACTTGGAATCCGGAAGGGAAGTGGAAAATTGGAAGTCCAAAGAACACATTACACCGGGAAATAGAAGCAGATATGAAAAGTATGAATCACAACTGGAAAGAACTGGAAAGGAAGGCTCAGGACAGAGTTGGATGGAGAATGCTGGTGAGCGGCCTATGCTCCTCGACGAGGGGTAACAGGCGTAAGTAAGTAATATATATGGAAATGTCCTTAATAAACATTGATATCAAACTGAAAGGATTCCTATATATGATCTGATAATGGTTCGCAATAAGATTGAACGTGTATTAAATGTGTATAATTGAAATATCATTGAAACTACCAAAAAAAATCTGTTAGAATCCTTACTGAACATTTTCTAATACTGTTGATAATGACCTGCATATGAAATTAATACATTTTAATAAGCAACGCTTTCATATTTCAACGATAAAGTTGATGTGAGCGTTTTTAGATAAACCTTCTGTAGTGTATGCTACTTATATTGACAGATATAAGTAGTATGCAACATCAATCAAATGTAGAATGCCTATGGAAAGAGAAATTGAAAAAACTTGAACTGAAAAGAATTGAATGGAAAACAGAAATGAGTTGGAATAAAAGCACAATTGAGAGAAACATGAAGAATGTAAATGATAAGTGATGGAAGATGTGGAAATAAAGTAATTAATGCATACACTAAGTATTATTTGTTTGAATCTTCCAATTGATGATTAGGACTACAACTGGTCAGTCTCTAATTGGCATATGTGCATACTGTGCTTATTGCCTCGATATTACCTTAATTCAAACAAACAATACTAAACTTCACCCCATTGCACAAGCAAGTGGTTATCAGGATTTAGTAGCTGAGTGGATAATGCGATGGCGTTTGAAGCGAAAGATACTGGATCTGAGTAGCAGAGTGAACATCAACTCTGAGATGCATGTGCATCCAGCTGACTAGTCACAAATATGACGAGACGCGTATCAAACTGGATTCCACTGCTAGCCACTATCCATCTTTGCTTATAATTAATGCATAGTTTTCATAATTTACAAAGACATTCTGTAATTTTGAACTAAATAATAAATTGTTCTATCCCATCTCAGTTCTAGCTCACTTCACATATCTCAAGGATTCATCGAATAACCAATGATAACAGGTAGTTATCAATGGTATTGCTAGTACAAATTTAAGGATATCAGTCATTATTTTTAGACTAAATAGGTGAGTGTTTATATGTTTGAGGTTTAATCTTAAAAAAAGTCAAGAATATGTGTAACTGACGTTTTTTTTTCAAATCAGAACATGATATTACAGAGCCTATTAGCTTATAAGTTTGAGACCTATTTCTGATTAGTACAATTCCTGAAATTATCTATACAATTATCTGTTTCATTAGTTTGTTCTACTAATACAATTGTAGTGTATGGTACTGATGTCAACAGTTATAAGTAGTATGTATCAATAACTGAAAGTAAAGTGCCTGGTGTCAGAAGGTTAGGAAGATCAAAGAAAAAAGAACCAGAACAGATGATTGATGTAGAAACGAAAAAAACAATGAAGTCTGAGATAGTTGATTGACGCTTTTCAAACGAAGTATTTACTGTATAGTTTTCAGATTTTATTAAGATATTCTGTATTCCTATACATTTGATTATCTGCACTTGTATTCTCATTCACTGCACAACTATAATTTCATTCGTTTTTTTTGTCTGATTAGTTTCTAACATAGTTCAATCGAATGTCTATGTTGGGGTGATCAGGAAAATTTCTCGCAAGGAAACACTAAGAAGCATTTTATCCAATTAGCGTTCAATAGAAGTTTTGCCAGAAACATCACGGTAGTGAAAAGTCACATGTAGAGGTTCTGATTGGCTGATTACTACACTGCTACTATGTTTAGTAGTATCCTAGAATTTTCAGGAAAACTCAAGAACTTCTAAAGTACTATAGAAACCCTATATTTTCTGTACATGAATGAATCTTTGGAGTAAAGTGCTTCTCGTATATTTTGCGTCTTTTCTCTCGTGTTTAATTTGCTGTGTAGATTTAGCTTGAGAGTTACGAGACTAGCTTAGGATCCCAGTATAACATTTAATTAGCCAGACTTATCAGTGTAGAATATTGTATTCATTTTAGATATTTATTAATGTTTGATAATCTGTCAAACTAAATGTTTTATTCCATCAACAGAACCAAATAAATTTGTCATTCTCTCAATTATATTATAGATAATAAATACATTTGTCAAAATAATAGATCAGAAGGGGATTTGTGGAGATTTCAGTATTTTCATAATTGAAATCATGAGTCAATTGAAGCTAGACCACCAGAGAAAACCTGGAAGCACTGGACGGCCGTTTCGTCCTATTATGGGACACCTCAGCAGTGCGCATCCACAATCCCGAACTCGCGAAATTCGAACCCAGGACCTACCAGTCTCGTGCCAGATCACTTAACCCATAGATCACAGTCGGCATCCGATGGTGTTAATGTATAACTCCAACCAATCCACCAAGTTTGAGCAACCGTTCACCAATTGTCTTCTGTGAGTTGATATCTCTACAACAGATTTGGTAGAACTCCATTGGTCACTGCTTCCCAATAGAACTCAAGGAAATATCTCTTGACGTTAGTCACTAGTGAGCATATGATTATAGATCAGGAGGGGTTTAGTGGAGATTCTCGTGAGTTCAGGATCGTGGATGCGTACTGCTGAAGAGTCCTATAATAGGACGAAACGGCCTTCCAGTGCTTCCAGGTTTTCCATGGTGGTCTAGCTTCAATTGACTCATGATTTTAACTATGAAAATAATAGTCCTCAGTAGAAAACAAATAAGTAAGTAATATTTTTAGTAAAAAAAGGTGTTGAAATAGGACTATTTTCTTTCTTTTTTTTCCTTCATAAAATCACGTTTTCAGTACTCTTTGTTCATAGTCGATGAAGCGTATAGTCAACTTGGAGGTTAAGTGATGCTTATAAATGCTTATACATATATATTAACAAATGGACAGAGTAAATGCTTTTATTAAGCTATTCTATGTAAGATAAACTGACAAGAATACCAAACTTTAATCATTCAAAGTATACGATTAGGTCATAAAAGATGAAGAAGGAATTGGTTAGATAAAATATCATATCCGACATATAGTATGAGGTTCATAAAAAAGTTATGAAATACCAATGAGTACTATATTGATAGGGATGATCATAAAAACATACCGATGGAAAGAATAGTCAGGTGATATGCCAAGTGA